TTACACTACCTGTGATTCTTGTTGTTGTTGTTGATGACTATTATTATCATCTTCATCTCTCTCATCTCGTGAACCTCGTCGACTCGAATGATGATGATGACGACGATACATCCCTTGTACTGATGATGATGATGATGATCTTGTACGCCTCCTATTCCTTCTATCATCATCATCATCATCACGTCGACGACGACGAGGAGGAGATGATGAAGATGATGATGCTCTCTTGTGTCGTCTAACCCTCTCCCCCTTCTCCTCCTCCTCTACTCTGTGTTCCTTTATATCTAATGATGATGATGAATGCGATAACGAAATGGATGGAGATACGAATCTACCTCCATCCACCGCATGATTGTCTGGAGATAAGTCTTTATCATCCCCACTACTCTTGTGTGCCAATCGAATCTAATGATGATGGTGATAATAATAGTGACGATAGTATAAGTAGTATAAGTAGTATAAGTAGTATAAGTAGTAGTAGTAGTAGTAGTAGTAGTAGTAGTAGTAGTAGTAGTATGGCTATACTACTACTAATACTACTAGTACTACATTAATAATATTGCCATCTATCTGAGCATGATCAAGATGATATATAGCATCCTTAGCGGCCTCTTTATTTGGTAATGTGATATGAGCATATCCTTTAGGGAGATTAACTTTATCATCTATAGCAAGATGAACATCAATAACTTCAGCAAAAGTACCTGATTCGTATTATTATGTCACTTATACTATTATTCATTAATACTACCGAATATCTCATAAAGATGGTCTTCATAATGAAGACTTCATTAATATTACGTGTGAGATTGGATACGTGTAGAATAGTAGTTAATGATGATGAAGGAATATGACCTAATAGTGAATATAATCCAAAAATGATAGTGGTATACTACTACTATTACTACCTTCTTTATTATTCTGACCCCTATCCATTTTAGTATTACTGCCTCTACTCCTACTCCTACTATATCTTTTATTGGTGTTGTTGTTGTTGTTGTTGGATATCATAAGATTAAGATAGTAGAGCAATACGCCTGTGATATACTCACAAGTGATAATTACTGAGTAGTTGATGGTAATAACTAAATAATATAATGATAATATGATGATAATATTGATAATAATGATAATAATGACGATGAGTTAAGATTAGTTCGGGTTCTTGTTCTTGTTGTTCTTGTTGTTGTTGTTGTTGTTGTTGTTGTTGTTGTTGGTGTTGTTGTTATTATTAATACGGTTGTCTTTATCATCATTAGTTAAATAAACATCATAATAGTCAACATGGTTATCGCCATTTACATAATTACCATCTATCAAACATCTAATACATTTACTTGCTGATATCATTGGATCGACGAAAGACGGTGATATCTTGGGCTTCTGTCTAATTAGCATCCTCCCATCCTCATCCTCATCCTCCTCCATATCCTTGTTGTTGTTGTTATTGATGGGTACTTCCACAGAGACATGATGACCATGATGATGTTCCTTTACCATTGTGGTATGACTAGAATCGAATGATTCTAGTGTTCTGGGATGACTACAAAACCAGCCAGACCAACATCAAGCCTTGAAGATAGAGACATATTATCAGTGATAATGATACGAGTGGGATTCGATAGGCTGAAAACAATATTATCACATACACTACATTGAACACCTCATCATCATTTGTATCATTTTATTAGCATAGCATAATAGCTAGCCTAGGCTTCAGCACAGCTTGTGGGATATTGTGCAATAGAGACGATTGTGGGTGGTCATGAGTAGAGGAGAACAATGTCCTAGTCATTAGTAACCCACTCGTCACAAAGACGGTAAAAATCTCGGGTCATACGAAGCAGAAAATGCTTGAAGCTCTAGAGGTGTACTAGTTCGAGGTCACTCCGACAGAGCTATATTAGCGGTTTTTAGCTTCGAAATGTGTGCTTGGTCCCCTTCCCGAAACTCTGAATATGATTTACGACAGGCAAAAGCTAAAGCGGTACTGTGAGAGTCTCAAACGGTGTGGTTGTCCTATGACGCGATGTGTCTCTGAACTCGACACAAGGCGAGGAAAGGGAAAAAGAGAGGCAAGGGGAACTGCTGTATAGCTAATAAGGTACACACATACACATGTGCGTGACTGCGAAGCTGTCTCCTTCATAGACTACAAACGGAATCACCAGGAGAAAGTTCGGGCGTCTTGCCTCCATACGAGCAATGGTTTTGTTCATCCTGAAATGTGGTCTGAAGCTCATGAAATTCTCGGGGTGGTGTGGTACCCATCT